ACAAATAGAGACACAGTCTATTAAGATCCAGTCCAATTCTAAACCAGTTCAGTCAATTTATTGACGAACCGACTTTATATATATTTATATATTTATATATTTTATTACAACTTTACGTCATTTAAATACTGTCATTTATTTCATTTATAGCTTTCAGTCATTTATAGCTTTCCAGTTTATATTTATTCCGCACTTCTTATTTTTTTTCGCATCTTATCTCCTTAAATATATATATCTGTCACCCAGTAACTGGTATCCGAGCCTTTATTCGTGGTAATCAGATCGTACTGGACCAGAAATAATCCACGAAACAACTGAAAAGATCGTGCAAATTAAAGATCGATTAAAGGCTGCACGTGATCGTCAAAAAAGCTATGCTGACGTAAGACGTAAGCCTTTAGAATTCCAAGTTAGAGATAAAGTAATGTTGAAGGTCTCTCCTTGGAAAGGCATAATTCAATTCGGGAAACGAGGCAAACTAAACCCACGGTATATAGGACCTTTTGAAATTCTAGCAAGAATTGGTTCTGTCGCATACCAACTCAAGTTGCCTCAAGAGCTAAGTAATGTGCACGATGTTTTTCACGTATCAAATATCAAAATATGTCTTTCCGATGACACTCTTATTATACCTCTCGAAGAGATACAAGTCGATACGAAACTCAACTTTGTAGAAGAACCTGTTAAGATCATGGATCGAGAAGTCAAACGATTAAAGCAAAGTCGTATTCCCATAGTGAAAGTTCGATGGAACTCTTTACGAGGACCTGAATTTACTTGGGAACGTGAAGATCAGATGAAAGAAAAATACCCCCAACTGTTTGACAAAACCCCATCCATAAGATAAATTTCGGGACGAAATTATTCTAACGGGGGGAGAATGTAACACTAGTCAAATTAGGTCAATAGACAATCACATGTGATTGTGCCAATCATGTAATGTGATTTTGTTAAACTAGTAATGTGATAAGAGTGCCATGTAGTTCATGATAAATTCTAATACAAATATGAACTTTCTTTATGATACAACTCAAAGTATACGTCTATACGATTCCAAAAATATAGAAAATGTCTGAATCTGACTTCGCATGAAGAAGTTATGATAAACCAAACACTATAAACCTCTATATAAGAGGAATTTAAAATATACTTAGAATTATCTCTTGGAGTCTAAAAGAGAGTTGTAGTACTTGTAAATACCTACGCGTGCATATAAAGAACGTTGAAAACGGAGTTCGTATGTGAAAGTTACGACCTTCCGAAGATTCAGCTGTCAGAAACCCTAATCTGACTGAGCTCACGACGTGAGCACAGAAACTCACGACATGAGGAGTCATTTTGCCACATCTCGGAATCTAGAAGGTGTGTGACGAGGCTGCGAGGGGATAAGATCCAAACTCACGACCTGAGCAAGGATATCCCACGACGTGAAGAGTCACATGGCCACCTTCCTAAGCTAGGGACGCAAATGGCAAGTCTACGGGGATAAGATCCAAACTCACGACGTGAGCCTTATAAAACTCACGACGTGGGGGTCCAAAATCCTTACTATAAATAGCAGGTCCGAATTCAGCCATTCTTACACCTAAACTTCTTTCTCCTCTCTCCATTGCTGAAGCCATCTTGCATCCCGAGCCCCGACGACCTCGTACGCTGACCGTTTCTGCTTAGATTACATAAAATCACGCTACTAGGGTGAGTTTCACGGCCCCACTTTCTAATATTTTGGGGGAAAACGCATGCTAAATATTGTATATACATTACTATTATGTCTATATGATAGTATATAGTTATAATAGTCGGGGTATAGTTGTTCTAAATATAATATTTTGAATATATACAACTATTATCAACTTGTCAGCATGTTATTATACTAATGTAGATCTTGAGTTATACTTAGGATTCTATATATATGTTGTGTGCGATATAGTTCCGAAGTTATATTCGGAAGTTCTATATGTTAATTTATAAAGTATGTTGCTATTATTGGTTTTATGTCAAGATAAAACTTGGTATGTTATACGTTGTTATTGTTAGTTTTATGACAAGATAAAACTTGGTAGGTTATATGTTGTTGTTGTTGTTATTGGCTTTATGTCAAGATAAATCATGGTTTTACTTCAAGTTATAGCTGTTATACTGCCTAAATGTTATGAAGTTAGGAGTAATGTTTAAAAGCATAGTCTAGTAACTTAGGGTTTTAGACATGAAAATGCTTTTGTTGTTAGAGCTATAGGAAGCCGTCGAAGTCTATATGAGTAATTGTATTCATCAACTAAGATTGGGGATCTTAGCGGAAATCCTCTGAACTGTAACCGTTAATCCCGTGTGAGCGAGGAAGTCGTGTATAATTAGTATACGGGTTGACCACCCCACTTGTGACTGTTAGCTACAGTTAACCATAAGCAAGTGAGGAACTATCCTTTTTACTTGTTATTGTTCCGGCGTCGATGAAGCGTACGGTGTTGTCCTCATGGAAATCATGAGTGGGTTCTCCTCATGGAAATCATGAGTGGGTTCTCCTCATGGAAATCATGAGTAGGTTTTATCAGAGGTATTATGTCACAGCAGCGGTTACAGGCTCATGGTAGCAAATTGTTAGAAACATTATACTTTGTCGTATACAAGTATTAATGTTAAGTATAAGTTTCCCCCTACTTATACCTTAGGTTTAAGGAATGTTTAGGTATAACACTTAATTGATAAGTAAACTATTATACCTAATATACATACTAAATGTTAGAGAGTCAAAATGATACTTTCAAAACTATACTTTTAAACGTGGAAAATGTACTATTTTATGGAGTCAAAACCTGTGGACTCACCAACTTTATGTTGACGTATTTTAAAATGCATGTGTTTTCAGGAACTTGAAAAGTTGGTATGTATTCGAACAGAAGAAGTTTTACTATTACCTTTCTGTTCATTAAGAAGTATGCCATAGTCGGATATTATGTAATAGGTCCTAGAAAAACAGTTATGTAACTTTCAGTTATCAATAAAGGTATGTATTTTCTTTAGTACTGTTCAATGTATGTTATATAACTGTGATACGAAGAATGACGTTACACCACCCGGTGTTTCCGCCGATGGCTGGGGGTGTGACAACAAGTTAATGCATTTTACACACTACTAGAAAAACAACCTTTTACGACGCGCAATGCGTGTCGTAAAACGCTCAGACGATGCGCAAATGCATGTCAAGGAAGGCCCTGTCATAACGAGAGACGACACGCTTTTGCGCGTCGTCTATAGACGACGCACATTTACGACGCGCATTTATGACACGCAATGCGTATCATTAAAACACCTGTCAAGAAAGGCCATGTCATAAACGAAGATGACACACATTTTTGCGTATCGTAAATTTAAATGTTAAAAAAATATATATTTATATATTTATTAATTTTTAAATTAAATTTGCATTTAATGTATCATAATAGAAATAAAATACCATATACAAAAAATACAATCCATTGCATAAAATTTAATGTCATACAATTCTATTTCTTACAATATATAAATTTGCATTCATCTAATCTACTCTGTGTTTCATACAAAAAATCTATTTCATGCGGCTTCTTTCATTTCCTTTGTTAGCAGCTTCCATCATTAGTAGTACAACTAACAATTGAAATGAAGAATGCAACACTTGTATATCTGCAAAAAACTTGCAAAAAACAACAAAGCTTCCATCATAGGTTTTGTTATCACTCACACCCTAAGAAAGAATAATCATATTGAGTTACAATATATGATGTTAAACATGATGAACTTACACAAGTAAGTACTATTAAGCTGAGTTTTACACCTATAACATCAATATAAAAACTATTCATGACAAAATCTACTCGGATTTTCAATTTAGTAAAGGTACCTGGTTTGATACTATAATTCAAAACTCAAATTGCAATATAAAATCAAAGTTGTTATGCTACCTTAACATAGTCAAACATCAGCTCATATCTATGGTTGACGACGATCTTATCAGCACAATTCCATTTGGTGATGAGAGAGGACAAAGCATTCATCGCTTCATCATAAGCTGAAACACTACTAGGTTTTCTGAATCCAGGTTCTCCTTCTTCACCAACAACAATCAACAAATCAGTTCCAGTTCACTTACTTCAAATTAAAACGAGGTTAAAAAAAAACGCAGATTCAAAATTGAAATACAAATGTCATCATACCACACTTGAAATGAATCAAACAAATTACCTTTTTCATGTTTAATTGAGTCAGTATGAGGTTCCAGAACCTGAATGGATTCGATTAATATTAGATGCTAAAACTTGGTTTATGTATGTGCGTGTCTTCAACTCTTCATAAAGCAATAGAACTGCCCAACACTTACACCATCCCCGCAAATAAAAAACAAAGTGAGGATTTAGTTTTTTTTCTTTAATTGCACCACTTGAAATTATATTTATATATATACCTATAGAATATGATCCTCAGTGGTTTTTTCCCTGGTTCTTTCTCAAAAGATAGTAAAAGCTCCCTGCATTTTCACATATCTGAGTTACTACATTACCCAACTTATTAACATCCATAACATATATTGTCTTTTGACCAGTCAACGAGACAAAATGCAGCTTTGTTGATTCCCAAAAAAATAGGATCAGATATCTGGAATGTTTTGCCTTGTCCAGACTCTAATTCTGGGGGCAGCTGTTTTGCCTTGTCCATACTCTAATTTCTCTTCTACCTGCATATATTTTGTAATAGAATCAAATTTCTGGAATGTTTTTTGGGTATTTAGTAATGAGGTAAAGCCTAAATTTATATAAAAACTATAACCCTTAATGGGGAAAAAGAAAACATACTTCCTCCATCTCCTTTTTTTGAGATGCTTTTGAATCTGATCTCCAAGCAATATAGAGCAAAGGCAACCCAAAAAAAGGCATAAAGAACTGCATTGTAGAAAAAACAATTTAGATGTCTTACAATCTTCATATTTTATATGAAGTTTTAATTTTATATATATATAATGTCAATACTCAATACATGCCTGTAGCAGCACTGTTTGTGTGTTTCCTTGATATCAGATTTGGAACAATCCTACCAAGCCCTGTAGAAAGTATCTACATACCAAATAAAACCAAACTAAACTTAGAAGCAAACTAAAATATATGTTTTTCATTTATGTTCACTAAAATATGAAAAGGGTAAAAAAAGAAAAGTAGCAAACTTATAGTCATTACAAACAGAGCACTGAGTGCACCTGATAGAACAATTAACTTTGGATGACGCATTGCCATAAGAGCTGCTATAATAGAAGCTTCATCTCCAATCTAGATGGAAGCAATAAATGGAATATTGGGTAATGTAATTTTGAGAAATAAACATTTGTGGAAACTTATGTGTGCCTATAAAAAAGGATTGGGAAAGAACATACCTCATTGACAATTATCATTGACAAACTGGCAAAAAATGCATCCAAAACACCAAGACCAGGATCCAAATTTAGTACAGCTTTTGGATCAATCTTGTTACCTATGACATTGTTTTTAATTCTTTCCACAACAACCTGTTTAAAGTACATACACGCATTAAGATGTATGATGAATAATAAGTAGAATCTTATTCAAACCTCAACATAGACTGGCATATAGTAGTTAAATATCTAAAACTTTCTATAACATAAAGAAACAAAAATCTGAAATCCAACTATAAAGTATAAACACAGGAAAGAGGAAACTTATAAATTAGTATTGAAAGAGTTCATATGTGTCTAAATGCTCATCCACAACAGAAGGGTTTCCAGTGTATAAGGGTTTTAACAGTTTCAAGTTAGTTCACAAATCACAATATTATAGCTATATCACCTTGAATTTACTGTTATACCTTTAGATCCCAAATTCCCTGTATGTTGAGGTGAATGAATTTTTTCAACTTTAATCATGTCTTTGGATAGACGCATATGATATCAGTAGAATGTAATTACAACCATATTAAAAAAATAGGGTTTTGTATACTCACTTTGCTACGCCGACCTAGATTTATAATGGATCCGGTTGAGTCTTCCTTCTCATTATCACCGGCAACATCCTGAAATCAACAAAAATAAACAGAATTCAAATCAATTATCCGCAATGGATAGCTTTGGCTCATATCTTATTCAATTGCGAATCAACAAAACACATAAAGAATATACCTGAGCGAAAACTACTATATGCCAATGGATAGCATCCAATAACACAGCGTTGAGTCCTTTTGTGCGTCGTTGTCCCTCAACGATCTTGCAAGCCTGAAGGGAAGGCTAATGGCAGCGAGCATGGAGGACTCGTTACTTGAGGAACTGAAGATCGAGAGAAGTAGATGGAGGGTTTATGAACCAAAACCCCAGTTCCAACAATAGTCGTGGTTCCAACAACTGTACCCCTTTGATTTCAATTTCATGGCCTGGTGACCAAAAAACCTTCGTTTTCACTAAGAACCGGAACCCTAGTTCCAACAATAGTCGATTTTGTGGCCCTATATAGAATTTTAGGCACGAGACTCCTTCATTTCTGGCGACTGGTATGGGAGAAAGGAGAAGCGCATCGTGGTTGGTTTTTTGGATATTTGACTGAGCGAATTAGAGCGGGGGCAGAGAATGGGTGGAGACATCAGTCGGAGATTAGAGATTTGGTGATGGTGTGATGCTGTTGTGGGAGAAAAAAGCAGTGACGGTGAGAGAGACATCCTGTCACTCCGATTGAAGGTTTTTTTGGTATTTGATTGTGAGAGAGAGAGAGAGGAGAACGATTGAAAGAAGGTAGAGGAGAACATGGCGACTTTTCAAACTTTTGGAATTTCATTTCCCCCGCGAGCTTCTAAAACGCGTGTTTATGAAAAAAAAATATAAAGCGATGCGTGCACACGACACACATTTTATCATATGCGCCCTCCATGTTTTTTTTGGACACTAATTTTAGGGCACACACAAACGCGTGTCCTCTATCCTTCAAATTTTATAAGAGATGACATTATTTTTATGACGCACGCTTTTGCGTATCATAAATCACTGCGTGTCATTGTTTGCGCGTCATTATAGGCTATTTTTCTAGTAGTGACATCTTTTATATAATCATGTTCACATCATCGCTTCATCATTATGCACATTATATCACTAGCATGCATTGACATAATCAACACAGACAAATATTACAAAGAAATTATAGCATAAATATATCACACACAATCAACACAAATCCCTCTTTCTATCATGGACCAATCACACCCCTCACATCAAAATAAAAAATGAAAAGTATAGCACAAAGGCCAATAAACCTGGGAGCAAGACAGACATAAGTTGTAGTCCCACGGGGCAAGCCAGACTTATGTTGTGGGATTGGGAGAAAGCCAGACATGAGTTGTGGGCCTGAAGGCAAGTCAGAGTCATGCTGTGGACTCAGGGGCAATCCAATATGTAAGATATGGACCCAATATGCACGCTGATATATGTTGTGTGGTGGTACTTTGGGGGAACTCACTAAGCTTTAACTTACATATTTAGTTTTATGTTTCAGGTACTTCGGTTGACCGGGGCAAGACGAAGGCGTGATCGTACACATCCTTCAATGATATGTTTTGGGAGATTTTTATGATGCATTGATCTTGGTAGTATTTGTATTTGACACTTGATTTGATATGGTTTTGGGTTAAAAAAAGGGTTTCTTTTAAATTAAACATGAAAAATTTTATCGTGATTTTTGGAGTGTTACAATTTGATTTTTGATGACTTTGTTTAATACTCTTCATTTTTGGGTTAGAATTTTGATCATTTAAATATATTTTGGGTTTTATGAAATGTTTAATTATTCATCTATTTGTCTTTTTTCCAATAAAACAAGATTTCATAAGTTTTGAATAAAATCATGAATGGTGAAAATGTAATTTTTTTTTATAAAAAAATAACTACTATAAACTTAAGATTTGGGGAAAAATGTTAAGGAATTAGATAACATAAAAGTTCAGGTTTTAAAGATCCAAAGAATAACTATACAATATATGTCGTTTTTTCACTTTTGTCCTCCATTAGAACAGTACAACTGGTGAACCTGACCATAAGGAAGCTAAAAGAGGTGGGGACACATGTTAAATATCATAATTTATAGTGAAGATGGAATGAACATGATTTCTGTTAATAATGAAGTGAGTTGACTATATTGGTTGCAAGCTTAATTAAAGTACATTGCTACTTTTTGCAAATTACAAATATGAAATTCCCAAACTTGTAGAAACCAACATGATAAGACCAAAACATGATATGTTAATGTGTGATAGCTTAAAACAATGAAAAACTGGACTGCAACATTTTATAAGTTTGAATTTGAAAGAAATACAATTTTAAGATAATTTAAAACAACAAGATACCATAATACAGGACTGTAACATAAGCCTCACACACATTGTGTGTGCTTAATATCTAATAATCAAGAAAGCAATTTGTTTTAAGAAATTTTAAAGTAACATGCTATATACAAAGTAGGCTTCTATAATCAATGAAAAATTCAAAGTACATTGGCTTTTAATAATTTTTAGAAAATGAAAATATAAGATGCGTTAATACACTAACCAACAAAGTACACTGTAAAATGAGACTCATCTAACTGAAGTGGATATAGAATTGGCAATCATTATCACAACAAACATAGGCAACAAAAGTAAATCAGCAATCGATGTGAAGAACCTCGTGGAGCTTTAGCAAACCAGGACAAAAACATGGTATTCTATTTTTAGATTTTGACTTTTGTTTTATTTTTTTAAACATTTCAATATAATCAATAACATGAAGTCTCTTTATGTTACTTTATCTTATTTTTTATTGTGTCGGCTTTTTATAACTTTATATGTCCCCCCCTTCCCACACGTTTTACGCGGGTCATAATCTAGTTTGAACATGAAATAGAAAAAGAGATAATTACCTAAATGATACTCATTGGCATCTCTGTTCTCTTTAATTAAAAATTTATATTTCCCATATGCTTTGAAAGATAGTGTTCATGGTGATATTTATAATGATGGGTTTTATGCAAAACAAATAAAATTCCTATGTATGCATGCAACCCTAATCTTGATCTATGTTTTCTATAATTGAAATGCAACTTTGAACATCAAATAAGAAACCCTAGGATACCTAGCATATTTTTGAAAATATGATTAGGGTTAATAGAAACATACCTTGATTGTTATTGACAAATAACAATGATCCTTGTGTTGTTGAAGCCTTAAGAGAAAGCACCACAAATGTCGAGCCTCTAGTGGTTCACACCCAACACTAGCAAGAGGATGAAAGAGGTGAGAGGAGAGGGGAAGACAAGAATTTCGGCTATTTCTCTAGAGGTATGAGTGTCCGAAATTCAATACGATTAAGGGCCTATTTATAGTGTAACAAAGACGCCTTGGATAACCCTAATTTGAATATAATAATAATGTTTTAAATTGGTAATTGTCCGGCTCCTTATTTATTCAATATGTGATATTCTAGAAACCGTAGAATATCCATATAGAAACCGTCCACTCCTTCCCTAGGAAGGTTCTGGAGCCTCTTGTTCAACTACTGAACAATTGCATTTTAGACCCTGCACTTTTAATTAATTCTTTTAATCCCAAAGTTAATACCAATTAATTTTTTGATTAAATATTAATTAAATATTATTATTTCTAATTAATATATTATTCTCATAATATATTAACAAATTATTTATTTCAGTTTATTAATCAAATAATAAATCAACATCTTTCTCCAAAAGTCATCATGTCCAGTTGCTAGTTTTGATGGCAACCCAAAATGACTGCGCTACTATCACTTCAAATATATATCAATTATAGTTATGAGTTTAGGCATTTAATCAAGCTGTATCCGATGTTGCCCTCCCTCCTTGAGGCTGAGGGTTCAAAAAAAAAAACTGTGTGAAAATTAATGTTTGTCTAAAGAAAGCTTTTTGTTGATTTTGTGTGTGCTTCACATAATCCGCCATCATAGTGACTTTTCTTAAACAAGAATTTTGCGGAAGATTCTATGAAACATATAACCAACGTAATCATATAATAATGTTGAACCCTAGATAATCAATTATCTAGTAGACAAAATTTAAATACTAAATAGAAATAAAGAATAGCTTATTGAAAAACATACTTTATGGCATGCAATTAAAAATCATATCAACCCTATGTAATATACTTCGGAACCACGTATATACTGAAATTGTTTGGTTTTCTTTCATAATCACAACAATAACTTAAAAGATAGGCGCTTATTTTTCTTACCATTCACAAATGCTAGTTTGCGATTGATTTGATTTTGGATGTACGACAACATCTATAGACCTATTCCGCAAATACCCTAGAATAGATGAACGAGGAGGTGATGGTCGTCAGTGGACATGTAGAACATAGATGTTTGGCCGTCAATTATAGAGAACGAGATGGAGAAAGATAAAACAAGGCAATAGAGACAAAATAGGTAACTGTAGGCTATAAATATTTTATTTAATTACTTAATATACATAATTAAAATCTAAATCACTAATATATCCTTAATCAGGTTTTTAAAATGATTGATTTATAGACTATGATGCATGGAAACGCCAACTTAGGAGCCGTACCCGTATCTGAAACGTGGAGGAAACGGAAACGCCTAGGAAACGACCGGGAAACTTTATCGGGAAATCCAGAAACGTTTCTGTGAAGTTTCCACAAAGTTTCCATTTTTTTTTTGTTTTGCATGGACTTTTTTAGTCCAAAAAGGCTAATTGAGTAATGGGCTATACTAATCGATATTACCCTACAACTACAAGCCTAAACCCATCGTCGATCGCTGCATCTCGTAGTCGTCTACTGCCTGTCGTCGATCAAGAACAAGAAACAATTCAGAATTCAGAACATGACCTCCCAAATTGCTGTTTTACAAGGTAACAGTAGGCAATCACAGATTACTCGAACCATATTCCTCATCAGAAAACAAACGATTGATAAAGTAGGTACACAAAAGATCTCTTGGGTTAATAAAACACAATGTCCTACTTTCCATTAGAGGCAACAAGGCAACCACGCATCATCTGCTATTTTGCAAAACAAGTGTTGGGGGAAAGGCCTCATTGTGTAATGATTTACCCTAATCGCATGTCAATAAACATAATTTACATCGCTCATCATTTGGAATTTCTTTAATATATATATATATATATATATATATATATATATATATATATATATATATATATATATATATATATATATATATGTTTTTTTTTATATTGTCGTATCCTTACCGTATCCGTATCTTGAATTTTTGAGTTTTGCCGTTTCCCGTTTCCGTTCCGTATCCGTTTCCGTGCAACTTAGTTTATAGATGTAGAAAATAATATAACTTTTGGTAATGGCCCAATATAAGGAATAAAATGATCAATTATTAAGTAGATAATGTACGAAAAAATAATTAAAACTCAATGACAAATTACAAAAGGACAATTATATGATTGGTGCTACTAATGGTTATATATAAGGTTTTAAATAAACCGAATGAACAAAACGAGGTTTGATCAATAATAACACATAAAAAAAAAACTAATTTTATTGTTCATTTCCGTCCATTTAAAAAACTACTTAATTCATTTTTGTTTATGTTCGTTCGTTAAGGTGCTAAATGAACGAGTACAAAAAAACGAATATAAAAAAATGTAAATGAAGGGATATAAATGAACATCAAAAACCTAAATGAACATAAATAAAGATGAATGAAAATAAACACCTACTAACATTCAAACAAAGAACCATACATCAATATATGAACAAACAAACAAAATTAGGAGAAAATATGAATCACAAACGTAAATGAACGAACAACACCAATGTATCATTTGAAAATAAACACCTATTAACATTCAAACAAAGATCGTAAACAAACGCTCACAAACGTAAATGAACGAATAACACCAATGTTCATGTTCGCACATTTAACTAAATGAACAAACAATATTGTTCATAGTCGTTTATATATTTGATAAACAAATATAAACGAACCTTCCGACGATCGAATCACCAATGATTCACTTTACTGAACGTTCAATTTGTTACAACCCTAGTCACATATTGGTTGAACAAATACTAATGGAACACGAAACCAACCGACCAAATACCAAAAAGTATTTTTAGTTTGGTATTAAGTTTTCTTGTACCCCAGATTTTGTTTTGTCCACATCGGTTTCAGTAATGTCAGTTTTCGATCGTCTATTATGAACCACCATGCTGTATATACATATATTTGGTTCTCAATTGGTTTTGGAACCGAAAACTCAAACACAAACAAAATCCAAACTGGCATAATATATATACACTTTGTTCGGTTTTTAGTTTGTACAATATCCAATTTCGTTTTCTGAACAATCCGATCCGGTTCGTGATAACATTCACCCATAGACTCACATATACCTTTTTACGAATTTATATTAATTCCGTGTTTTTTTTATGTAATTATATGTTATCTTAATCGTTTACAAACTGGTAAAATGATTTTCTTTTAAATGCCTTTTGACTCGATATTATAAATTATCAAGTTCAACATCTATCGTCAAGACAAAATCCAGTTGTAATCTTTTGCAACTTTGTGTATGTTGTTTACGGTATTATACAAAATAATATGAGAATATAAGCATTAGTGAATCACGATAAAATTAAATGTTTAGTAAGCCAGAGCTTAAAATATCGACATACTCCTTTAATATTTTCATATTTTGGGTTCTCATTTCTTCTTAATTCAGTAGAAAACAAACAAGTCATTACAATATTAAAAACAAAAAAATTAAAATGATATAAGCGAATAGAATAGTAATCTCCTATGGTTCGAACAAGTGGTTCACTTTTGCACCCAACCCGGTTCCAACCAAACTCTGACCCAAACCCAAATGGTTTTTTAATCTGCAACAGCCCAAGTCATATCGTTCTCAAAGATCCAATGACAAACTTCAATCTTCCCAGGCTCCGACCCTAGTGAAAGAAAAGCTCCATGGGTCGGACTCCAAGCTGACGTGTCAATATGACAGATGGCAACCCCATGATTAATCTTGGAGGACGAATTCGGGTCAAGTAGATCCGCTTCGTAGACCCGTACCTTGGGAACCGAGTGACAGTAGTATAGCAGGTAAGGGAACAAGCTCTGATGGCAAGACACCGACTTCGTTACTTTACCGCCGTTAATTTTTTTAATTGAGCCGATTTTTACCTTCTTACCCGACCCGTTTGTGTTGTCGGTTGTCCGAACGACGACATCTCGTCCAAGCACTGACGTGGCAAAATCGATCATGTCTTCAACCGATCCGACACACCGTTTTGACTCACCTTGACTCGGTTTCCGTTCACACTCGCTCAATCCTTCAGAGATTAAACTCGCCATGCTTGAGTTATCCTCAGCGTGAAAAATCTTCTTTAAATCGCCGAGTTTGGAGGACGAAAATGGTAATTTTGAAAGAATTACCCGGGGTAAAAATGACCTTTTAGGCATCTTATCACGAATGTCCGGCATGGGCATTATCGTCCCGGATTTTAACATACTCTCCCTGAAAAACTTACCCGGCTCGATCCACTTATTTACAGGTTTGCCACTGGCGGCTGATTTCGTCTTCATTGCTCCTACACGCGCCGCCGACCCCTTTGTCGCGTAGGTAGCAAAAGAAGCCCTCTTCTTATCGGCGTAATCTTTGAATGTATTGTTCACACCGTAGCCTTTAAACCCAAATTTCTGGTTTGTGACGGTGCCTCCGCCGTAGCCGGAGAATGTATCGGTGCCTTCGTTGAAGGAATTCCCGTAATTTGAAAACTTCAAGTCCGCCGCGTTGGAGCTTTTGGCGTATGATTTGAAATTATCGTCCCCGACATTGGATTGATCACTGTAACTCGTGAATGAATCGACGGCGGCGTTACCGCTGTCAGCGTAGCTCTTGAAATTATTCTCGGGAACGTTGCCGTTTTCCCCATAAGATGTGAAAGAATCGTTTGCGCCGTTGCCGTTCTCGCCGTAATTGGAAAACGACGAGCCGATGACGTTGGAATTATTACCGTATGATTTGAATTCATTCTCGGCGCCGTTTCCCTTTTTCCCGTAACTAGTGAACGATTGATCGCCGGCGTTTGCGTTCTCGGAGTAAGATTTGAAGGTCTGGACACGCCCATTGACGTCGTCGGAGTATGAGGTGAATCTCATGGTGGGTACATTGACGTCTTGGGCGTAACTTGTGAAGTCTCCGGTGCCTCCGGTGGCTTTTGTGCCGTAGGTATTGAAGCTCTGGTCAGGAACGTTTGTGTCTCGGGCATAAGTGGAAAACTTATCGCCATGGCCCACTGAGTCACGTGAATACCGCCGGAACGAGTCAAGAGCCGAGTTGCCGTCATTGGAATAATTTTTGAAGGAATCAAATCCACCAAGACGACCTGACCCGTAGTTAGTAAAGTTCTTCTCGGAGTACTCTTTAAAGTTCACATCACCGGAATGTTTCTCCAGGCTGGGTCCCACGTCGGGGAAGCACAGTAAGTTTGCGGCGGAGCAGAACGATGGGAGGTTGGTGGAGAGAGAGTGCTGGTTAGCCGCAAGTTTTGAAAACGCCGCCGACTGCACGGCGGTTAGCGGCGAAGCTTTCTCGATTAAGAACGAGGGTTTGGGTAAATCATTTGAGATCTGCTTCTTCCAGTATCGGATTACATACGCCTTTGGAGTAAACGGGTCTTCTGCTTTTCCGGCGAAAACAAGAACCTGCAAAAGTCAATCCATGGAAGTAAGAATGCAGGTTCCGATAATTGAATAATTACAGAAACTGATGATGGAAATTAAGATTCGTACAATGTGGGAAATGAACCCATGATTGAATTGGGGAAGAACTTACATTGATTGAGGAGAAGATGAGAATCAAGAAAGGGATGGAGTTCTTGAATTTGTGCATTTTGCCAGTGTGAAAAGATGATAGTGGATTTGGTTTTTGGTTGGAGGTGAGAGCTTTATAGTGAAAATTTTGAATGACTTTTTTTTTTTTTTACTTTTTTATTTTCAAATTTTTTCCATAAATAAATATGACTCCCTCTCACATATTAAATTTAAATAATATTGGAACATACACTTTTCTAAACCACTTTATTTTGAACTCAAAAGCAAATTGCATATGTATGTTTGTATTATTTTAAGTTATAAGTTGACAATACGTATGTCTAATTAATATTAGAGTACTCTTATGGTATATATATTTTTTTATCACAATATTGCTTACATTTTTGTTTTAAATAAATGTAATGCTTATTTTTTTTAGAATATATTGTAATAAATATAAGATTTGTTATGGAAGCTGATATTTTTGAATATTTAGAAAATAAACTTCTTTTCATATGCCTTGATATTACATGTTTACTCACCCTGATTTCATACGTTATGCTCCAACCAAGTTTAGTGATCTAGCTTCAAACGTGTAATAAGGAAACTTATTTAAGTATTAGAGTCCCTAATATATTTGTCCGATTATCCCATATATACACCAACAATTACCAACTAAAATACCATTTTTATGCTACCAAGTACCAACGATTGTACAACACCACCAACGATGCATGTTCATTTTTAATCATCAAACTCAACAAGGCTCAAGGACCCAAAACTTCATGAGCCAAAAACTCATGAATTCCGCATTTTGACTACAATCCAACTACAACCCTCACAATATTTACCAACATATAAATCTATTCACACTCATGTCAACACAACCTTAATGAACTTAGCGAACATAAATAGTTGGAACAAATTTAGAACATACAACTCATAGAAAACAATTGCTCTCCTTAAAGGATAATTAATATCAATTGCTAATTATTACAAAGGATTTAAGTATAACTCAAAAGTTATCAAACCGATCTATCTTCTTATGTATATATCTATATATCTATATATCTGTATTTATATCTATATATCTATATATCTATACATACTTATAAAAGACATTTTTTACTTGTACCAAATGCATTTGAAACTTCCATAACTTTTCAATTTCTTTTTAATAATTACTTTAAATTTGGTTAATAATGTTAAATTAATGTAAAAATTAAATTTTAATCATAAATTAACTAAACTACAATATTAAAATATCATATTTTTACTTCTATTTATAAAATTATGAGTTTAATTTTTTAACATATTATAGTTAACTTATCAGTTTAAATATATTGTCGTATGTGAGCAGTTGTCATTTTAAAAGCACAACTTTTATATAATTTATAATTTTTTGCAAAATAGTTAATTTGTTAATTTCAGTATAATGTTAAATGGTTAACTTAAATAAAAATTTCAGTTAAACTTGAACAAAGCTGAGAGACTATTTTATAAATAGTTAAAAAGTTATAAATTATAGTGTTAAACCTAAATTGTAAGTCTAAATTAACAAAAAAAAACCATGAAACTATTTTTTATAATCATTAAGAATTTTCAAATAAGAAGCCTAAAAATAACTTACAATAAGAATTGTTAAAAGTAATATTATATAAAAAATGATAATGTTATCTTTAAAAACAAAAACAATGTTTGTTGTTTTAAATAATCATGATCAAAGAAACTAAAAATATTCATCAAATAAATTTTAAAAATGTTAAATTTCTGAAACCAAATTAAAATAATTAAGAGTTTCCAAATATGTTATTTTAAATAACTTACAACAATAATAATTAAAAGTAACATTATATGCAAAACTATATTATTACCTTTAAAAACAAAAACATTATTCGATGTTTTGAATAATTACAATGATAAAAATTAAAATCTTAAGCAAATAAACTTTTTAATATTAATTAATCATAACAGCAACTATAAATATCATTAAACCATATATTATATTTAATTTTATTCATGAGTAACCTGTAGGTAGAGACCATTAAGACAATTGAGATTATAGAATTTTAAAAGATGTCTACATTATCATATAATTCAAAACAAACAATGTTTATACAAACTTATTATAAGATTAATTATATAAGAGCTAACAACAACGCCATTGATATATTTATAAAACATATATTTGTAAAGATTTCAAATATATTGTTATATTCTGCACAACGCACGTGTATTCGCCTAATTTATGATAATAAGAGTCCTAGTTGTAAATGAAATAAATAACCTACACATGCAGTGCAAACCCTAAAGAAAAACTAAAAAACAAAAACGTAAATAAAAGATAGCCAATGTAAATAATTATGAGCCAAAATCTCCCCAGTCACACCGGAGCCCTACAATTCTGACCCAACCAGTGTGTAGGCATACCAAACTGATAAGTTTCATTCTCCCGCTCCACAGTGGTACACATGGTCCATCTAGAAAGCTTGAGGTTTGAAAATAATTGGCTTATATGGTAACTATATCAGTATTCTTTGTGAAAACATCCACTCTACACCGAGAACTTTATCAATCCAGTTATGTGTCTTGGTCTTGATCATTTGGTTGCTCAAGTGGTCATCTTGTAGGTATCAAGCATCATCCGCTCCCTATAAAAAGACTTATCCATAGTCTGATTCTTCTTTTCTGTCTTCTTCATATATGCTAAGATCTACTACATTGAATGTTGAAGAGATGTTAGAGTGGTTAGAGAGCTCAAATCGTGCAGGTACTATTGTTGATCTTACAAAAGACGTGAAAGAGACTATTTGCTTGTGGCTTCAACTTATCAAATCAACCCATTGGAAACTATTCTTTGCATAGATGGATCCACACAATATCGACTTTTTGAAAAGTAGCACGATTGAAATGTAATTTTTTCCCAATCCAGATACTGATTTGGTAGAGTATATACATAACCATAACATACTAATGTTACAACCAACATTATATATCCATAGAGAAAAAATATATAGTTAGGAAAAAAACAATGTAAGACCCAGTTCAGAATGTTTCTAATTTCGGGATAACATGTCGTAGTATGATCACATAAAGGTTTTAGGCTTAATGAAGATAAAGTTTAGACCTTATTGGACGTAGATATTCTTGGTTAAGTGGGTTAAGCTCTTGAATTATGTTTTAGAGCCAAAGGGTAGAATGGGAAAGCAATATTTTGACTCCTTGATTAAGTTTGATATTTATTAAGTCAAATCTAAGTAGATAAAAGTGTGGAGTTTATCAATACCTTCACGTGCATATAAAGATCACTGAAAACTGGGTTGAAACGAAGAAGTTATGGTTGTATGAAGCTGAAGTGTATTTTGGAAAAAAACAAGTTCACCATAGCGTGGCGAGGAGTTCTCCATGGCGTGGAGCGTTGTGCAGCCCAAAACCATTAAATTAGGGTTTGACTCATATTTAAGGGCTTCAACCCCTTGTTTTAGGTCAATTTCCAGCCTCTATTGCACCAAGAAACCCTCTTTTTAGCAAACCCTAGCCTCCTTTCATAAAATAAGCTCCTTCTATCTCATTAGACCTCTTTTAGGAGCTTTGGGTATTGATTTGATGAAGCTTGAAGTTCAAAAAAGTTCTTTTGGTTGTAAGGAATGTTGTTTCAAATTTACATCCATCAAAGGCACTCAATTTTTGGACTATTGTGAGTATAAAGTTCCTATCTTGCTCTTTATTTCTTTAGATCATGTCATTTGGGGTTTTTAGCAGTTTTGGTCCATTTTATGAGTGATCTTGGATTTGAGTGGACTCCAACATCTTTTGATCAGTTTGGAATGCTTCTTGGACCTCATGGACTAGGAAAGTTATGATACTTTGCCTTCCCTTTAGGCCATGCAAGTTATCTTGGTCCTTTAGGTCTTTTTGGTGTATTAAAGTTTAACTATTGAAGGTTTGTGGCGTTATTATGGATAAAATTGGAAACTTTATACATCTAAACATCAATTTGATTCAGATCTGAAGGTTGGAGACTTGGACTTAATTGTTACACTCGAATCCTGGTACGTTTCCATCTAATCCTTTAATTTACGACTTTTGGCAACTGTGGCCCTTACGCGAGGCGTACCTAGATGGTACACTGGGTATAAGGGGGATTTAGCAGAACGCCACCGTTTTAAGGGAGTAAGCTGGGCGTACTCCGCCTGCACTTAAACCCTAATCCTTAGGGTTCGGACCCTATATATTGAACCTTAAGTCCCATTTCCTCATCCCATTTACAGCTTCTATCACTTGAAGCATTGCCCCTTGCAAACCCTAGCCCCATTGTTACATTTTGAAGCATGAGAGTGTGTTTTTGTGTGTTTGAAAGGAAGAAGAAGGTGGTGGTGAAGTTTGGAAGCTAGAAGCAAGCTTGGATCTGGAAGTCTTGCATCATCCTCAATCTCCAGAAGGTATAAAGTTCAGACCTTGGTGTTTAACTTGATAGATCTTCTTTGTATGTTGATATTATGAACTTTTGTCCCCAAATATGGATTTCTTGTGCATGGCATGCTATAGAGAAAATGGGCTGTCCTTTTGGACGTTTTTCTAGGCTTAGAATGATAAAAATGTGTTCTTGATCCTTAGTTCTTCCCCATGCATGAGTTTGGTTGTCTTAATGGCTTAAGATGTTAGGGTTTTTAGTGTTAAGCACATTGGGGCCATCCAAGACCATAAAGTTGGAAACTTTATGGTCAAGGACAACATTTGGGACCCGGATCTGCATTTTGGACGAAAAAGCTTAAGTATTAAGCTCTTAATGGACTGAGAAGTTCCAGCTGCGTACGCTGGGCGTACCAGATGGTACGCCGTACATACACGATAAGGTTCCTGTCTGTTTGGTCATGATCGAGTACGCCCCACATACGGGACTGAGTTGACTCGGCTGGGTTGACTCGGCTGATTTATTGAGTTTGACCAATGTTGAGATAAGGGTATTTTTGGGTAATCTAGTATTAATTAAGGTTGGGCTATGATTTGCATAATAGGTGATAGGTAGAGCCGGTATTCGGAGTCGAGACCGATTTCAGATTGTGTTCGAACCAAGAGGCGAGTTCTCTCACTATGCCAATG